TTTTTTTTTTTTTTCTTCTTAATAATGGTTTTGCGTTTTTGTGCAGAGCTGATTACGGAACATGGTTTCCTCAGGACTGCAACAAAACTGAGAAAACTTAAAGTTACAGTCAAACCTCGTGAATAAGGACAACGCGAGGCCCCTTATAAACGAACAATAAAATTTATGACCTATAGGAGCAAATAATGTTCATCTGAAAAGCAAGGTTCAGCAGCATTCAAACGGCCAATCAGTCGCTGCTCAAAAGGTTGAAAAGCGCGGAAAACGCCTTTGATTTGTTGCTGTTTTATCTTTCATCTTATTGAACAAAAAGTGTGTCAACAGTTCACAGGTTATTCTCATTGTACGCGAAGATGTCTTCCCTTGACATGATCAGGTCCTAATCTCAAAACTTGCCTTTCTTATTTTTTTTCAGAACTTAATCAATGGTCACTAGGATAAAAGGGACACCAAAAGTGCAAAAAAAATTACACACACCTTGACATATACTTTTCCCGACAACTTCTCTGTCTCGCCAAGTAGAGCGGAGAGCAAGGTGGTTTTTCCACATCCAACCTGACCCACCACGGCAACGAGCGAGCCGCTCGGGATATTCATATTGACGCTGCAACGAATTACCAAGCAAAACAACTTCAGTGAAGTAAACAACAAATTGAGACGCTAATAGGCGTAACGATACCAGGGAGTCTGGTTTCCGTCTTTATCGGTCTTGCACTTTATCAAGCACAGTCATCTTCCTTTCCAGTCTTTTCTTAAATCAACAGAACCGAATAATGAAGAACAGTAAACCTGGAATAAGACTATTCTTGTTTTTGTTTTTTTGTTTTTGTTTTTTTAGGTAATTTACCTTTGTAAGACAGGGCTGTCATCTTTATCCCAACTGAAAGATCCATCTTCTACGTGAATGGCTTGTGAACTGACTACAAGCCACAGAAAAGTCATGAGAATTCGAACGTTTAAACATTGAAAAAAGAAAAAGAATACCGTTGAACATTAAAGGTTAAAAATCGCCACTGGCAAGAGGTGTACCAGTTTAAAGGCGGTTAACAAGCGTGATCAAGGAGTTGAGGTCGGGTCTACCGCAGAACAACTCCAGCAAGTAGAGAGAACCTGCGACCTTCAGATTCCACGTCCGGCATGTTATGGAGTTTAAAAAAGAGCTTAAGCAAACCACGACGGCAACGGCAACGAGAATGCCACCAAACAAAAAGTTTAATGAGTAGAACAATGGCTGTGCACGTGCGTTATAAATCTTGGTACATTTTTTACCGTCCTCTGCAAAACAACAACGACGGTGAAATGACCAAATTCTGCGTTGCCCCAAGAACGTGAACCACCACGGCTAATTTTTTTCAATTTTAATTTCAAATTTGTCACTGCATCTAAGATTCAGTTTCATGACAGTTTTAACAATGACAAACAAAGTAAATGACTTAGAAGATCGCGAGATTCGTAAGTAAAATATAAAATACTTTTTTTAATCGACGTTGTCCTCGGCGTCACTGTCGTGGTTTCTTAAACTCCATGCTAACGACTTAGCCACGCCACCTCCTTAACTTGGGAAATGTGAAGTGAGAAAAATGAAGTAAAAAAAATGTGCAATATAACCATGTAGAATTGAAATTTAAAGAAATTGGTTTTTGTGGAGAAAGGAAAACTGGAGAACACAGAGAAAACTCTTTGGGGCAAGGAAGAGGACTAACAATTAGCTCAACCCTAATATGCCAGCAGGTCTGAGGCCCGTTTCTCGAAGGTCCTGAAAAGTCTTTGCACCCGGAAAGCCACAGCAAAATCTTAACCTTATGATTACGGAGCTTTTTTTATTCACATAATATTATTTTTAATATGAAAAGCGGTTCCCTTTTTAAAGAAGTTTCAGGTGTGTGTGTACACCTCACTGATTGTAGATTTACATATTAACTAAAAATGGCTTTTTGGGACAGAAAAGTTGCCGGGGCTTTCGAGAAACGGGCCACTGGGCTTTAAACATGGGTCACATTATTGGAAGGGGAGCACAATCACCCATGGACTGCACCATCCCTGCTGCCAAGTGATGTTGAGCAAACAACTGCAATCTGTTGGCAACTTACTGTGTTCAGGCATGGTCTTTTCAACATTGTTTGGATTCAGCTCCTCCAGATTCAGGAAGTGAGAAAGTCTGTTGATGGACACCTGACCCTATAAACAATAACAACCTTGAGTGTCAAGGTAACTTGTAAACAAGCTTATGTTTGAGTCACACTAGCTAGCTTTCCTGATTCCTTCTGACTGCTTCACCACTCTCATGTGTGAACCCTAAGTGAGCCTCCTTGAAGGCTAGTGTGAAGGAGGTAGTTTGTGCCTAAACCTGGAGCACTGGACCTGGAGACCAGAATGTATACCATTAAGCCACTGCACATCGCGCTCGACAGAAGTTAATAAACATCATAACTGACCTGTATCATGCTGATGATGACATTTGGAAACATGGTTATGGGATATCTCAAGATGTTGAACAGTGACAGTGCCACAAATGCCTTGTTAGCTGTCAACTCATTTCCAGTTAGAACATAGATAGCAAATGTTGCTAGGGCAACCTGAAATAAGAATAATATCAAACGAATGTTTTGTTAAAAAAAAAATCTAGAAATAAAAGAAACTAGCACTGATCCTCTTTTGACCATTTTATATCAAATGAAGATAATCTCGAATACATTGANTACAAAAAATACAAAGCAATCAGAATGGTTAGTGGCGAGGACCAGAGGACATTTGCATAGGTTGTGAGATCCATAAGACGCTGTGCATCCACCGACATCAGGTTCACCATCTCACCAGCTGTAGATTCTGTCCGTGCCCTACTGTTCAGTGCAAGTGCCTAGTAAACAAAACAAGAGACATAGATAAATTATTGGCTTACTTCACAGGTATGCATTAATTTAACTAACGTAAGTGTAGCCACACAGTCATTGTTGTCCTTCACTTGCATTGTCTGCCCCAGAACTTGGGTAATACATAAATTACTTTTTACAGGCATCAGAGGCATGTAACATACATGTACTGTATTGTCAGTGCATTGGAATACATGTGTAATTGATTTAAGATCAGGGTCGTAGCCAAAAATATATTTATATGAGTGAGGCAATATCCATGGTTAAATTTTCTTCCTAGCCATTAAGGGTGGCTGCTTATGGTGAAAAAACAACTAAAACAAATTATAAACAAAACAAAAAATGACTGAAACAAGTGCATTGGTTTCCTTTTTACATGTACTAGCTACAGCCCTGATAGAGCAATCCAATAAATGCCTGCTGTACTTTAGTTTGGTATCTCACTAGGCAACAGAGCACATTCCACATATTTACCTGTTCTGTACATTAAAAGAAAAAAAAAGTGCATTCACTGCATTCATTTCCTTATTATATTTTGCTCCTAGTTTTGTCACTAGCTTACCTTGGCATAAACCATTCCAATGAGAGCAGTTCTAATCCTCATTCCAAGAACAAAAACAATTTGCCAGTACTGATGGATAACAACAGACATAAAGACTGACACAAGGAACATGGAAAAACCATAAACATATCCCTTCCATGTCTCTTGACTGCTGTCTTGTGTGTAGGAAATCAACAAGCTGAAAATGACAAAATAGATGTTGGGTTACAGGAAATAAGCTGCAATTAAAACAAGATACANGGTAAAAAGTGACCAATTGGCGGGCGGCTTTGAATTTTATTTTAATCGACTTGGCTGAAAATCAAAGTTATTGTTTGTATAATTATCGTGGCATGAAATAGTTAATCACCTGCTGGAGACCAGTTGTGAAATTCTGGTTGCCAGTGCAAAATTTTTAGTCGCATTGGCGACCAGGAAAGTGCAATTTCGGACCCTGATCAGGGTCGTAGCCAAAAATATATTTATATGACTGAGGCAATATCCATGGTTAAATTTTCTTCCTAGCCATTAAGGGTGGCTGCTTATGGTGAAAAAACAACTAAAACAAATTATAAACAAAACAAAAAATGACTGAAACAAGTGCCTTGGTTTCCTTTTTACATGTACTAGCTACAGCCCTGATAGATGCAATCCAATAAATGCCTACTGTACTTTAGTTTGGAATCTCACTAAGCAACAGAGCACATTCCACATATTTACCTGTACTGTACATTAAAAGAAAAAAAAAGTGGATTCACTGCATTTATTTCCTTATTATTTTGCTCCTAGTTTTGTCACTAGCTTACCTTGGCATAAACCATTCCAATGAGAGCAGTTCTAATCCTCATTCCAAGAACAAAAACAATTTGCCAGTACTGATGGATAACAACAGACATAAAGACTGACACAAGGAACATGGAAAAACCATAAACATATCCCTTCCATGTCTCTTGACTGCTGTCTTGTGTGTAGGAAATCAACAAGCTGAAAATGACAAAATAGATGTTGGGTTACAGGAAATAAGCTGCAATTAAAACAAGATACAATATATTGTTTGTTATTACTATGACACCAACAGATATGTTAGCCAGTACTATGCTTAACAACAGGCCAGAGGACAATTGGATACAATTAACGGACATCCAGAGCACTCAGTTGTGGCAGGAGCAGTGGTCTGATGATTAGGGTGCTGGACTCATGATTAGGATCAAGTGGTCTGGGTTCAAACCCTGGTTGGAGTCACTGTGTTCTGTTCTTGAGCAACTCACTCTATTGTCAGCTGGGTACTGGTGAAGTTAATGCTGGGGTAACCCTGAAATGGACTAGCATCCTATCCAGGGGGGGAGTAGAAATACTCCTAGTCACTTCATGCCACAGACAATGGACTGGGATAAGCACTGACTGGATGGTCCAGCAAGTTCAAACACAGCTGACTTTAGGTATACAGTATGTACAAATGCAGCATTTTCATTCTTTGCACCCTTGAAATACATGCAGAGGGCAAATTGTATCCAAACGTTTTGAAATGTAAGTAATCTATGGAAAGTACATTATTTTTAGTTTTCTTATTCCATTATTTTACACTAAATAATATTTATTAAAACCCAACCACATATTGCACGCTAAATTTCCTACTTACTTCATCAGTTGTGGTTGAAGAAACTGAATTACATCATATATCAGTTTAAGAAGCATTCCAANCAGTACTATGCTTAAAAACAGGCCAGAGGACAATTGAATACAATTAACGGACATCCAGAGCACTCAGTTGGGGCAGGAGGAGCAGTGGTCTGATGATTAGGGTGCTGGACTCATGATTAGGATCAAGTGGTCTGGGTTCAAACCCTGGTTGGAGTCACTGCGTTCTGTTCTTGAGCAACTCACTCTGTTGTCAGCTGGGTACTGGTGAAGTTAATGCTGGGGTAACCCTGAAATGGACTAACATCCTATCCAGGGGGGAGTAGAAATACTCCTAGTCACTTCATGCCACAGACACTGGACTGGGATAAGCACTGACTGGATGGTCCAGCAAGTTCAAACACAGCTGACTTTAGGTATGCAGTATGTACAAATGCAGCATTTTCATTCTTTGCACCCTTGAAATACATGCAGAGGGCAAATTGTATCCAAATGTTTTGAAATGTAACTAATCTATGGTAAGTACATTATTTTTAGTTTTCTTATTCCATTATTTTACACTAAATAATATTTATTAAAACCCAATCCCATATTGGATGCTAAATTTCCTACTTACTTCATCAGTTGCGGTTGAAGAAACTGAATTACATCATATATCAGTTTAAGAAGCATTCCAATAAGGAACTGTGGCCCAAACTGATAAGCCATGGCCCGGAGTAAAGAAGCTTTCTTCTTCTTCTTCTCTTTTTTCTTGTCCTTTTTCTTTTCATCCTCCTTTGGAACAAATTCTACTTTGGTTTCATCATTTTCTTCTGCATTCAACTTTGCTGTCTCCTGTTCTTGTTGCTCTTCCAAAGGGCATCTCTTACCACTAGATGATAAGGGAACATACATGTATCACTTGTAAAACCTTTTTCATGATTACATGTATATATTATTTATCCATGCATCCTGGAAGGGGAGGGGAGTGGAGAATTATTTTAAGCACATTATTTGAGGGCAGAGTGGGGCTCAACCCATTTCAGACCTGGGGGAGGAGACATGTGTAGCTTTAAAAGCATCAAAGCAATCAACTCCAAATTTCATGACTTTTCCTGAAATTAAGCTGGAGACAATTTGATAGTACACACAGTATCATTCAACTTGATACTCCTATGGCAACCACATTTTGGCAGGCATGTTTTACAAACATTTCCTGCAGTAACTTTAATTTTCTCTTTTTCAGGTAAGATTAGCTTTCTTTTATTGATTTTCATTAATTTTAAACCTATTTTTTTAACCCGAAACCTGACCAGTCAATTGTAAGTCTCGTATGCAAATTAGACCAATAGGGCACTGCCTCCACAATGCACTACATAAATCCTCCAAGTATTATTGCCCTAGGTTTAACAATCTTCAAGTCCCAGGTGACGAAAAAAAGCCAGGTCTAAACATGGTTAATAGAGAGGGTCAGAGGTTATTTAGATTGCTAATAATTATTAGCAAACTGCCAGTAGGTTATCAGTTAACAAACTAAAATTCTTCTTGAATGCTGGAACTACAGTATATAGTTGGGTTAATTACATGTAGCATCTGAACTGCCACACAATCACAGCAATTACAAATTTGCCATTTACCAGTCTGTCCTTTAATGTCTTGGTTGTGAAGGTACAGCAGGGTTAGAGAGGGGAGCTAAAAGGGGTTGAGTAAATTTTCTCACCTCGCGAAGTGTAGTCAGGTCTCATCGACAACCATGCCAAAGGGTAATTAATATTATTTTTTTCAGGCATAAAAATATAATTTAGAGACAAGTAAGAAAATTATTCCTCAATCTTGACAATTTTACCCTGAGGTAAAATGGAGAAAACAATGAAATTAAAACAAAGCAAACCATTGTCTTACATTGCACATCTCTCCTCCTCTATGGCCCACTTCTCCATAAACTTGGGAACAATGCTCATTGACTTGTTATTTTTGCCTAATGCCCACAAATCATCATTGACCAAAGGCCTCTTAAATCCCTGAAGAATCAACCTGTAAACAAGTAGCAAAAAAAAATCTTTGTCCATTAATTATTTATCACTCCTCAAGACTGAGTGGACAGCTGGGAGGGATAGACTAGAGCAGCAGCAGGGATATAGCTTTTAAGATTTAGGTGTATCTACATGTATTCCAGCTTAGTTCGCAGATCTAGAGTTTTGTACATTGTGTAAAGTCTTTGTATGCTAACTGTACCTGTATCATTGCTGTTCATATCTGTAAGCAAAATCACATGACTTGATGCTGCTCACATCTACATGTACAACTCCCCAAGCAATTAAATTGACTTAACCACCCAGCGTATACTAATTCTCACTCATAAGTCTTGACTTATGTACTCACACAACTTTTAATCAAACTTATTAAAAATACTGTTGACCACTTAAGCTCCCAATCAATCTTACCAGCAATGATTAACAACATACAGATCAGCAAAATTGTTTGCATGCAACGTACATAATGTAATGTAATGTTATGTAATGTAACACCCAAATGTATGTGCACTACCAGACCTACCCGTTTAGCCACCAAAAGGTCAATTTTGAGAAGATGTTGGCCTTTTCCTCTGGACATGGGCCCTGTAGTAAGACAACTAAAACATGAGCTAAACAAGAGGATCTGAGTAAACTGCTTCATTTGCATATGTAAGAAAATAACTTACCCTGTTAACAGCATCTCTTTCAGTAGGAGCCCCAGGAAAGAATTTCAGATCCACTCCTGAATTGACCAAGGCAGCTGTTAATTCACCGTTATGATCGAGCTCTTCATCNTGTATTCCAGCTTAGTTCGCAGATCTAGAGTTTTGTACATTGTGCAAGGTCCTTGTATGCTCACTGTACCCCCCAAGCAGTTAAATTGACTTAACCACCCAAGGTATACTAATTCTCACTCATAAGTCTAGACTTACATACTCACACCAACTTTTAATCAAACTTGTTAATAATATTTAACATACTTCAATCACTCTCTACTGTAGACCACCTAAGCTCCCAATCTATCTTACCAGCAATGATTAACAACATACAGATCGGCAAAATTGTTTGCATGAAACGTACATAATGTAATATAATGTTATGTAATGTAACACCCAAATGTATACATGTGCACTACCAGACCTACCCATTTAGCCACCAAAAGGTCAATTTTGAGAAGATGTTGGCCTTTTCGTCTGGACATGGGCCCTGTAGTAAGACAACTATAACATGAGCTAAACAAGAGGATCAGAGTAAACTGCTTCATTCACGTATGAAAAAAATAACTTACCCTGTTAACAGCATCCCTTTCAGCAGGAGCCTCAGGAAAGAATTTCAGATCCACTCCTGAATTGACCAAGGCTGCTGTTAATTCACCATTATGATCGAGCTCTTCATCCCTGAAAGAAATTTTAATTAAACATGGATTTATTTAGTATTTTAAAATTGTCTTTCGTTAATACAAGTAGTCCAAGTTTCCACCCCGTCTAAAACTAAGCTTCCTAAGAATACCCTAAGACCCAATATCACATTCTTACATTGCACAGCAGATCTATAACACAACAAAGCAGTGTAAACCGTTACTTTCAGGGAGTACTCGGCAATTCGATAATAGAATTAAACACTGTCCAACAAGATAGCAAACAGGACTTAAATGTACATGTATTACTATAATCAGCCAATCTGAATTAACTTGTCTGAAAATTTTTTAAATTATTTTTTAGAACTGGACTAAGTAAAGTGGCTTGCTCTGGACCATACCCATTTGTACCTAGACCAGGTTGCAAGGCTAAATTCACACAATGTTATCAAGACGATTGGGCTAGATCATGCCTTACTTAATGACGTAGATCTAGACATGTACATACATTGTAGATGTACATGTAATATGTACACTCTACTGTACAGGTAACACAACATTCCGCTATTAATTAGTTACTTACCAATTACAAACATTGTTTGTGAAGATAGAACTCTGCATGGTAAAAAGTTCCTTTCAATATAATTATTCAATTTTTATTTAATTTATTTATCTATTCAGGACCCTGCAAGTTGCAAAGCTTAAATCCTCATCCTGATTAAATAAAGGTGTTACTTACTTAATGTAAATACTCACTCTTCCATAGTCAAGTCATCTTTTAGTGGCACCACACAAGTGCTAGGAATGTAGCCCTTTTCTTCACTGCCAAGATGCTTTACATACAGCCACCAGTCAACATCCCTCCCCAGCACCTCAAATTTCTCTCCTCTTTTGACAGCTAGCTGCGCCGAAATATCAGGAGCAGTGTCTACAGCTTCTTGAGCTTGGAGGTCATCATCTTGGTTGGGATCATGTGCAGCCACTGCTATGACAAGCAGATTCTTCTTAGCCTGTTCTCCCATTGTCACAATCACGGTTCAAAGCACCATCAGTATGGTCACTCTCCCCTTGGATAAAGTGAAGTGTAACAGACGATGATGTCAATTACAGTGATCACACAAAATTAATGCCTGAACCTAACTTTCAGGGCTGTCTTTAAGTCTTGATTCACCTGTAGCCTTGATCTTCACCCTCGTAACAAACTTGTTAATATTTTAATACATGGATTGCATCAACAGCAGGCAAGCTCACCCATAACATATCAAGCACTGGTCATTAACATACCTAGGCGTAGCAGGTGTTATGGGTTACAGCCCTTATTGACAGCCCTGACTTTTAATATAAAACTTATGGCACGGGTGAAAAGAGTTACATGTACCGATGTTTGCATGGTTACACTACAGATTTTCTGATAATACATTCTCTGTTCATTGGTAAATATTACACTGCACTAGTTTATGGGTTGGTTTAAAAGAGGGAGAGACACATTAAAATGTACATGTATGTACTGCAAGCACAAGGTAGATTGTACACCATACACTAGCAGAGGTACATGTACATGTAGGTACATGTTTGTTTATTTTGCAATGATATTTGTCAACAAATCAATTTCACAAGTGCGGATGATTTTCAGTTGTTCCGAATTTTGTTAAGTCTTACATGTACATGTACCAAACTTTGAAAGTGAAATTATCTTGCCTCTGAGCAGGGCAAAGTGTTAAAATTCACAGATCTTTCAATTAATAATTCTAGAGAAACATCAACTGACTTGTTGTGCCATTAACTGAAGGTGTTTGATTTGTCATGTGATTGACATTGCCAAATAACATGATGTTTGCTGATTGAACGTGCAGACACATTGGCTCAAATTTCCTGGAGGTACAGTACATATGCCAAAAAAATTTTGTCAGGTTATAAAGTGAATGGGTTCTTATGCAGAATGTAAACAATAACATAATATGCCTTTGGAATAGACTCGACCTTGAAAGTTATAAAAAGTCGTACTTACTATAAATAGAATGGAAATATGTTGCACATGCATGCAAGTCACATAAATCTCATTAGTAAAGAGTTTATTGCTAGTTCTTACTGCACTCTTAGGTTTAAGTGATCCAATTTATTTAATTCTCATACTAGCGGGGCTGTACAATAGCTCGAGAGATCCTGATTCAAAAGCTCACTCTACAAAATGAAGCGTGTTAAAATGATGAGTCACGATTATAAAGCTTTATAAAGGCGAGTAAACGACCTACAACTCGTGCAAATCAAATTGCAGCTGTACTAGTCGGCATCACGCGACAAAAATATTGCTCCGGAGCACAGCAGTACACAAACGATCTCGACGAAGTGTTGCACCATTAACATAAGCTAAGCTTAATTTGCAAATTAAAAAGATCTGCAAGATCTCTGCAATGGATGTACATGCAAATCCGATCAAAGCTACCCGCGGCTTTACGCCATGTTTTAGCTTATATAAGCTTAGACTAATTTTCAAGCGAACGCAACAGAAATCGCTGTCACTGATAAACTGTACTTAAAAGGTTAACAATTTTGGACTCAAGGTTAAGATTAGGGCAGTTTATTGTCGTTATTGTTGACAAAAATTGTGTTAGGATTGCCCCGCGTAAATTTTGAGTCAAGCTGGTTTCCAGCAGCGAAATTCACCACCATATATCTCGATCATTGCGGACAGACTTACAGATGATTTCTACCAAGAAGTTGTCGTGTAGCGTGTGTTCATCTGTGTTGTGGTGTACTAACCTTTGAGCGCTCTCTAAGTGTCCAAGAACCTCTTCCAAACCCTGAGAGGAGACGAGGCGAGGACGAGGAGTGTTCTGTTTTGGAGTTCAAATCTCTGCAGGGACTGGGCTTAGTGACGTCAGAATTTTGGCGGGAAGCGGCTTTCTTTTGTTCACGGTCTGTCAGTTCGTCACGCGATCAGACCTGTACGGGTCCGCAAATGATCCCAGGGACCTGTTTCTCGAAAGCTCCCGTAAATACCGGGCCCGATAACTTACCGGGCCGGTTAACGGGAAACTTTATCGGGCCCGAAATAACGTTTCTCGAAGCACCCGTAAATTTTCCCGGTACTT